CTTCTCTCTCTCTCTCTCTCTCTCTCTCTCTCTCTCTCTCTCTCTCTCTCTCATGCGTTAATAAAAAGGACGAAGACGAAAGTGAAAAAAATGACAAGATAAAATATAAAAATTGTACAATCATAATTATATGTATATATTTATATTATATAATAAGATTCTGGTATTTTTATTATATTTTCTAAATCGATATTATAACCATTAAATTTTTATGAATCATAGATAATGTGATGACTAACGAAGTAATAGTGAAAGACTGATGATAATTATATTTTTTATGAATTTCGTAAGGATTATTATAGTAAAGAAATAAATGCAGAAATTGTAGTGGGATTGTCGAAATATTATGACTCGAATTAATAAGCATTTAATAGTCCATAATTAAATTTTCCGAAAACGATCTTTATTTTTAACAAATTGAGACTTTCTTTCAAAGAATTGTGCTTTTTCATCTCTAAGTTTTATTCATCGGTAAGTGAGATATGAAATTAAGTATCATTAAGTATCATATTATAAGATCATTAATTATGAAATAAAATTTAATTTTTTTAATTAAATATTAATATTTTAAAGAAATGCATTTTTTATATTTTTCGGAAAAAGTTGTTATTTTCAACAAATATATGAGATGACATAAATTGAATTAATGAATCTGCATCTATAAAACAGTGATGAAAATGATCTCATGCTGATTAAATCTTCAATTAATGAAACAAAAATGTATTTTCTATCTTATTATTTTAATTAATATTTTTAAATTTTTATAACAAGATTTGATTTTTTGTAGTTGAAATTGATATACTTTTTTCTGCATTTAAATTTTATATTATAATTTTATATTATAATCACAATAAGTGCACATAAATAATATAATATTATTGCAATCATATATGCAATCTTTCCTTATTTTTTCATTGAAAACAACGAAAATAGATGTATAATTACGCGGTAAAAAATTATTTTGCATCAAACCTAATAACTTTTGTAATATCTCAATCGTTTGAATTGAATAAAAAAATCTTGAAAACTTTTTTTTAGGAATAGAACTAGAAAAAAATTTTTCATTTTTGAATTATTTTTTAATAAAGAAAAATTTTTTAATAAAATATTAAATATAGTTTTTTTGATTTTATAATATAATAAATTTTTATCTTAATATAAAATGAAATTATATTTCAATGTTTCCTATGAAAAATCAATCCATATGCTTTACAAAATAGATTATAAATCTATATCAAAGTTCAATTAATTCATTTAAATGTTTAATGACATTTCTGATATAATAATTAATATTAATTATTACTCTTCTATTGTGAGAATAACAAGATGTTCTTTTGCAAAGAATAATGTCTACTGCTTACGTGACTTTCGTCAGATACGATTAAATCCTGGATATGTGTATAACTGCAATTGCAACAAGTAATCTTCTAAGGTCTTTGTAGTGCTTCGAGATTATACGTTTATGTATTGGGTTTTTGTATTCTTTGTTTTGTTGTATTAAACCTCTTTTTTTTTTTCATATATTACGAATTTATATCTTGAGAAATTAAAGAGGACTTTTAAATCTGATAATCATTATTTAGCTTTTAATCTAATTCAGTTATATTTGGTAACATCATTTAAAATAACAACCTAAGAACTTAATACGTTAAAACAATTATAATAAAGGTAATTCATTAGACTCTGTTTTTATTATTATTATATTTATTATATTATTTATTATATTTTATATAGTCATTAGTATTAGATCTGCTAGATCTTGTTTTGGATAAAAAAAAATGAAATAGAAAGAAGTTTTAAAGAATTATTTTAAGTCTTTTCAGAATTATTCAATAAGAATCATAATATCATTATTTAAAAAATATAGAATTAATAATATCATAGAAAATCTTTTTGAATTGAAAAAAAATAAATTTTTCTTACATCATATTTGTTTTTTAGACAAATTTGTTCTTTTTTTTTTTACATCAATCCTAATAAAAAATATTAATTTAATCTATTGAATCATTTTGTATATAATTAATTAATAACAATGCAAACATAATTATATGTTTAATTTAACGAAGATTTTATTTTTTGTTTTTCTTCTAATTTTTTTTTTCTAATCTTTTTAGTAGAAAAATTAGTAGAAAAACATTAATAAAAAAAAATAATTCTTTAATTTTTATTAACAACAAATTTGATAATAAATAATACTAAAAATAACAAAAATTAGTCAAATAATGTTATATGTATAGGTTTATGCTATATTTATAGGTTTAATATGGTTTATATTATATTTTATGATTATACTTTTTTGAAAATTTATAAAATGTTAATTTAATTAAAAAAAGATATTAACTTAGAAATAAATTAAAGATTAAAGATACCAAACTTATTAACTTAATTTCTTTAATTTAATATTAAAAGCTTTATTGATTGATTCAGATATAAATAAAAAATCTTACAAAAGATATAAATTTTAAAAATTTCAAAATTTTAAGCAAAACATCAAACTCGAAATTATATCATGCGAATTTTATATAAAATTTATTTAAAATATCATTAACCTAATTATAATTATAATTATAATTAATAATCGTAATATATTATATTGGCACGTAATTCGAAAAATTACTGTCGTTTCGTATCCATCATTGGTCAGTAATATCGTCGTTACGACGCGGCGTCGGTTTGTCTGGCATGTTCCTTACCTCGACAACCCTCGATGTCGTGGGGTGAAGACCCTGCGTGTCTAGCCAGAGTCTCCCGTGCATTTCGTATTTATTATTTATACACCGACAAGTGTCTACATCCGGTAGGATACGCGCGGGAAATCCACTTCGTTAAAAAAGAGTATCGCGTCGTGCCCTCCGATGCAAAATTACACGATTAGGGGGAGATCTTCCCATCGTGCATTTCTCAAAGTGAACAGCCAAATTAAAATACAACGACACGGATTTATTATCTGTATTGGATAACTTATTAGATTTCTAAAAAAACAGTAATCGAATGGCTCGTATTTTTAGAGAAAATTGAAATTGATTTAAGATTTTGAATAAATTCGGAGAATGATTTATGATTTACAATAATAATTTGATTGGATATTTATATTGATATTTTTAAATGAACAAAAAATAATATTTTTTATTTTGTTTATTCGTAATATTGTATTAAATTGATTTTTAAAGAAAATAATTCAGTATAATTTTTTTAAAAAATCTTGCAATAGAAAATTAAAATTATTTTTTTTTATCTTTTACACGATTTAGATAAATAAATTTAGAATTAATACATTACATTTAAGGATTAAATAATTCTAAATTAAATTGAATTAATTTGAAATGATTGAAATTAATCGATCATTTAACACAAGATTTATTCATATAATATGATTGACTGTGATGATTGATTCATATAATCCTTTGTTACAAATTATTTAACCAACAAATCGAATCTTATTACTTAAGCTCAAGTAACTTAAGATTTAATTAATATATAAAAACAACACTTATCTAACTTCTTATTCATGAATGTCGATTGTTTAGTAATCTAGATTTACATATACTCTATTATCATTTGATTACAATTTCAATTCAGAATTATAAATATTCACAATAGAAAACATATTATGCACGATAAATAATGCAATAATTATCTTTATTCCAATGTTAAATCATTTAATAAACTTTTCGATTCTAAAATATAAAATTTTTATCGAAAAAAAATTTTAAATTCATTAAATATAATTAACATTTTTTAGATTTTAGTTTTTAGCTTTTTTTTTTCAACATATGTTTTAAATATTAATTGTATCTTTATATATAAATACAACACTTCTAAAAATATTTTGTAAAATCTTCTTTTATCAACAGGACAATATTTCTTTGAGGAAGTAATCGAAAAATTCACTTGAAATTCATAAATTCTTCCGCATCTTCGTTTACTGGATCGCGAAGAAGTTGATCTCACATAGCATGGATTAAAGGACAGAATTTTGTCGGATTTGCATTTTTATCAGAAAACCTTGGTTGTTTATGGTATTACTATGTTGCATGAATCGAATGAATAATGGAACGTGCCACGAGGTTTGATCGAAGAAAACTCGACCGCATACTCAGTATTTATACTTGAATTATAACTATTTATATCCACGTCCATCTGTTGTGTGTTTCGCTTATTATGTGAATGAGGATGCATAGTTTGTGTGTAAGGAATACTTAAGAGACTTCAACAAGAATTCAAAGTTCCTTTAAATAGGATAGTGATACGGAATATTATAACAATTTGGTTTTAAAAATAAATCTTAATTGAAATTTTATATGTTTTAAATTGATACAATATTTGAATAATAATATAAATTATGTAATTTTTTATTTGCTTATTTTTTTTTATATAATATAATTTTCTAAACAATTCATATAATTTTCTTCTATTTAATATTTTTTATATAATTAAATTTTTAATTCTTTTATTTTTAATTTTCTAATTATTTTTTTTCTTATATAGAAAATTATAACGAACGCAATCAATATAAATTATTATTATTAATTTGATAATATAAGAATCAATGAAGAAAAAGAAAATAATTAAAGAAAGAAAATGAAATCTCAAAGAAATGAAACAATATAGATATATTAGAAAAAGAATTTTATTAAATTCTTAATGCATTAATCTATAAGAATTGATAACTTGGTAAGAAATTAATAATTTCTGTAATAAATATTATTTCTAAGTATTAATAAATATTATTATTATATATATTTGTTATAAATATTATTATTATTTTATAATTTATAAATCAATTTTTACTTTCTTTCTTAAATTTTTTTTTTATATATCGAAGGAATTCGTCGAGAAAGGATTCCAGGAGAATTCTTGATAAAATATGGTTTGCTGGAGATATAATATGATCAAGACAATTAGGGTCTTGCGTTTCCGTACAATTCTACAGAATGAATTAAGTTTCAGGGACGAAGGAAATGTCGCGTGTTTCGTTGCTAATAATTTTGTTGAAAACATATACGATGTCTATTCTTTTTTTTTTTTTTTAATTATATTTTACATAGAAAAAGAGAATTTTATATAAGTGCTTTTATATGATTTATATTTAATATCAATATAATAAAACTTATCGAATATTAATGAATTTTAAATAAAACATTTCAAATTTTAAAAAATGAAATCGAGATTATCCCTAGGATTTAATAAAAAAAATTTTTTGGAATTTAAATTTTATCCTATGCATATATACTCCAATTTTTATATTGATGTTATAATATTTTTATTTAATAAAAATATTAAAAAATATATTTTTATAATATTTATATATTAAGTAATGTATATAATTTTTTAAAAATATAAAAAAGTTTTTTCAAGAAGTTTCAATATAAAATATTTTTAGAAACACAAAGATTAATTTTAAAAAATTCAATAATCATATTATTTTAAAAATCGAACATAAAACAGATTTATTAAAAATTTAATAAAACTAATAACTTAAAATGAACAATTATAATATCTAATATTATTCTCATGATCTATCAATGATCTCACTAAGTGTCATTATTTGTAATGCTTTCTCAATAAAATGTGACATCATCTAAACAGAATTTTTGCTTGTTTAATGTTTCTACTATTAAACATATATACAAGTAAGAATAATCGCGTGACGTAATATCCTTAGATAAAGCAATATTAAATCGTTTATCCTATTAAAATATCTATGCAAGAGATCGATGAAGTATTTTTCTTACTGAGATATTTTGTAATTATCTTAATAAAAAATTGAAACTTTGTTCTTTTTATTAGCTTATTTCATCGTATCTCTTCTTTGTCTTGTTGCACGATGTTTCAAAGTTCAATTTCTTGCGAAATTAGTTTTCCTTCCATGAGTTAAATCTTTCAATGTGAAACAAAGCTTCTTTATTTTTCAATTTGGCTTATAACGAATAAATAAAAGAATGTTTTTCGTTATTATTTGTTTGTAGATGAAGGGCAAACCGCTTTTTTCCAATTGAACTTAGTCCAGATGGATGGAGCAAGCCAGAAAGGCTAAGAGTCCATCCCAAAAATCGCCATCCTGGTCCTCAATCTGCTTTCTCATCGAATTGCTTTCGACGACTGAGGACTGGATTAATTTTATTCTGGCCAAATGTGAGTATTTTATTGTTAAATACCTTAAGTATCAATGATTTATTTATTTTTTTCATTATTATTTTTATAAAGAAATTTATAGTTTACCAAAAAAAATTCTTCATTCTTCATTAATCGACTTTTATATGTTTTATATATTTGTTGTTTTATATATTTTACAAATTTATTTTTTTTATAAGTATACAATTAATGTATTTATTTATATATAATATTTCATCATTTCTTAGGAATAATATCATTGATAATGTGCATGATCATTATCTAAAATTGTTGAACAAATAATATTATTAAATGATGAAATTATAATAATCAATAATATAAATATAATAATGAAATTAAATATGTTGATTGGTATAACGGAAACCTGTTCTAAACGGAACTTATTTTGATTAAGAATCCAACATACGATAATTATTGCCCAAACATTATACATACGTCAACATTATCATGAAAGAAATATAGTGAAGTAATTCAAGTTTTAAATATGATATGATATATAAATTATATTTGCAAATATTCAAATTAAAATTTTGAAACCGTTTGACGCGATGTTATTAAAAAAATTGTATAAAGTAAAAAAAAAAAAAAATTATAAAATAATCTTATAGCTAAAGAAGAATACTGATTTCTTGAAACTGCTCTGATTCAATCAGATTTCTTGACAATCTACAGCATTCAATGTATAAATTAAAGTCAGACATAAGTATAGTAAATTTACATATACGTGTATCATGTGTATATGTATATGTGAGTAAGACATTAAATAAGATTACAAATTGTTAATTGTTTAGTATCTACATATCATATATTATGATAACCTATTAAGAAGATAACTATGTTAACATCTTAGAATTCATTTAGATAAGAAATTATTTTATTAATCATTGAATTAAAAAATATGATTAGAAAATATATTAAGATGAATTACTTCGTCGATTGTTATTAACTTTCACAATTAATTTAATTCTTTGGATAATGAAATAGAAATATTTAACAAGTAGTTTAGAATGCTTTCATAAGTTTTGAAGCTAAAATATTAAAAAATAGACAAAATAGTCCGTAAATATACTATAATATTGATAAAACAAAATAGTGTACACCATGTTCAAGAAAAAGAAATCAGTGAAAAGTAAACACATTTTTTTTTTATATATATATATATAAGAATCAAAAATTTACATTTCTATTAAAATCTCTCATTCTAAATTCATGAAACATCGTTATCAGTCATCATCTTTTTCCCAGTATAAAAACCTAAAACTAAAAAATGCAAAACTCTTAATTGGATCTCTCAAATATCAATTGATACTATTTTTCGATAGTTTCATTTACAATCTCATTATATCTCGGCATGTATTTTATCGCGAAGGGTTGAATTTTTGTCCGCTATTATGTGTCGTCGATTTATATATCCAATATATAGGATTAAAGCTTTTAGCTTAATAATCCTCCACCGGATTGATTCCTCCTTAACACGATTTACGTGTTTTCCTCTATTGATGCTCTATAAAAACCTGTGTGTTTGATGAATTGCAGCGTGTGAAAAGTCTTGGATAATCGGGAACGAGGATGGCTAGGAGCAGCGGCTCTACAAACGCGCACCGGCGATGCAGCGATCGTACCATCGTCGTTCATCGAGATGCCGTTGTCGCAGCTTGTAGTACGTCCGTTCGCGAATCACGATCGATCGGAATCGGGTACAATAGAAACGGCCACGGCACTGCTACCTCTGCCTACACTGGCTACGCTGCCAATTTCGATCAGGGAGAGGGCACGGTCGATTAGAGTCGCCCCTTTCGATACAACTGCCGAGCAGCACGTGATTCACGTAAGTTTCACGTTTGCAATAAAGCAAATTGGTATCTTTTTCATTTTTATTTATTTATTTATTTTTTATTTTTCTCTTTATTCTTTGTTTGTTTGTTTGTTTGGTTTTTCATTTGCTGGGCCAATCGAATAGGTAAGATTGAGGTTTTCTTCTCTTTGTTATTTTTCTATCCTCCTTCTTTTTCTCTCGTGTTGATGGAAAATATCGAACGACCTCGTTTTTTTATTTTTTATTTTTTTTTATTATTTTTTTTTTATTTATCGATATTGAATGCTGTCAATGAGCATGGTTCTTTTTTTCCTTTGAAATTTTCAAAATAGGATTTTGGATTTTTATATATTAAGCGAAGAATAATCCGATAACGATATTTAATTTTTGATGCTTTCAGTAAAATGTATTATAAAAATTATAAAATATTTTATTTAGAAATTAATGGAAAGTAAATAATTTAGATAATTTATTTAATGATTTTATTTGAGTAATTATTTTTAGATCTTTATATTTTAAAAAGAAGATAATCTAATTAAGAAAGATTAATAGTTATCCAATTATTTAGCTCAAATAAAACCAAAAAATATAAAAAGAAAAAGTTAACAAAATTAATTGTTCATTTCACATTTTTCCCAACAAAAAAAAATAAATAAAAGAAGAATTAAAATATTTTAAAATAATGTTTGAAAAGTTATGCAAAAATTGCTACTAATATTGCAGTAATGTTCGCTTATGAAAAAATACGTCTTTTGTTGCGCAAACAAGTGTAAAGAAAGGGAATATCGATTTTCGCAAAGGTTAAGATAAGATAAATTTATCGTTTCGATAAAACACCGTTGGCCATCGGTTAAATTAGTTTATAAACGCTTTGTTATTGGTTTTATTGCCAAGTACTGTGTCTTTTACAATTCGATTCCTATGAATCGCACATTCGTACTTCGTTTGTAGATATAAACGTCTAACGTGTATAGTTACTTGATAGATGATAATCAACTAATCGTCGACTAGCTATTCGTGTTTCATAGCATGAAACGTGAATCATAGAATTGTTAAGAAAAACAAATTGTTCTAGAAAAGATTGAAATTTTAATTGAAATCAGTTGGCATTAATTTTTAACTTAATTTGTATTTTTTTTATTATATTATAGCATATATTTTTTATATATTATAAATTTCAACAAAAAGAAATAGTACAAAAAAAAATTTAAGTGAGAAAATCATGCGTTATAAAAATAACAAAACTTTTTATACTAATGTATAATATAAATAATAATACAATGCACAATATGTATTCTTAATTTTATCAATTTATAATTATTAACAATAAGCGTGGAATACATTATTCCAAGAACCAATACATTATTCCAATTAAACCATCTGAAAGTTACAATGATATTGCTTAAAAAATAACATCAACTTGATCAATATTGGCACGGATCGAATAAAAGTCATCCAAAATTTTTTCACCAATTTATTTCTCTTAAATCTCCAGATCTACATCTAAATGATGAGATTAAAGAATTTCTACTTATTTTCCGACAAAGAAGTTTCCAGCTGCAATTTCTGATATGACCGGAAATTCAACTTGCACGTAGAATGAAGTCAGTGTTATGCAACAATCGTCTATTGATGCCATGATAGGGAAAAGAATGCACGTTGAATTTCTTATCAACTATTTGCATCGTTGGTTATCATCGTACATTAATTATCATGATCTTTCGAATTACTTCATTTTTCCTATTGTTTTTGTATAAAACTTAATTGTATCATCAAATTTGATTTTTTTTTTGAAAAGGAATTATTTTCTAAATTTTTCAATATTTACAGCAATGTTAAATCATATTTATTTATAATATTATTTATAATAAAATCATATTTTATTTATAAATGTCTTTAACATTATAATAGAACAATAGTAGAATTTTTTTAATATTAATAAGTATAAATATTATTAGCATAATAAAAATATAATTTCCATTATTGATTCAAATTCAATCAAGTTCATTCAAATTGATTCTTTATAAAATCATTTGACAATAATCATCAAAAAGATCATGTGTTTACATTTACATCTCCCACTATCGTATATTCTATCCACATCTTCTCTTCTTTTCAATTCCATTGTTATTCTGGTCTCAACTCTTACTTCTACCATCTACCTATCCACTAATAAATTATTTTTTTTTCATAGGTTACTATAGAGGAACTATATACGAAGACCTTGACATATTCGATGGCATATTGCTCGCTCTTACACGCGCGAATGCTTAAATAGTGCAAACGACGAATTATCGACCACATCACTGCTGTATCTATGTATTTACATGGCAAGCAGACGTTACTAGGCCCGTGACTTTCCAACAAAAAGTCCAAACGTCGAAGCAAAAACCTTCGTCACGGCCGGGGCCAATCATCGGCATAGCTGGATGTTAATCAATAAGAATCTTTTCCCGCGATTGGTTCACCCGATACCGCGAAATATAGATCCATACGAATCTGAAATTTAGGAAAGCCCTACTGTTTCAGCGATGAGAAATTGACAAGCGGAAGGAATTTGAGTTTGATTGATTGTAGGCCTCTCGTACGATTACAAATATAACGTTCATAAATTTTTATTGCTAATCGAAACTCTCATAACGTAAATCTATTTATAGAGGAGCATGTTTATCGAAAAAAAACGAGATACATTGAAGTACGAAGCAAAAGTAAAAATTTGGTTAAGAAAATCATAAGAATAGAACACATCAGGAAATTATCATAGCAAATACAAATCATAATGTAATTGAACAAAGTTTTAGAAAAACCGATATTAATTTTAAAATATATTATTATAGACTTATAATAAGAGTTTTAAAATTAATACTGTTATGTGTTGTTGATTTGTCATCATCAAAATTATAAGTGAGTACATTTTTTACTTTTAAATATAATGGCCAACTTCTCGCACAATAATAATTAGAAATATCCATAACTTAATGATCGAGCATGAAAAAAAGTTTGCATTCTAATCGGATTCGATTTAGGGTGATTGGTGAAGAGAATATTAGATTTAAAATATCTGATTGGATCAGGAAATCGAATAGATTTGAGGTTGAAGAGGTCTTTAATAGGGAATGCTCAGTGAAATGGAAATTATAATAGGATAGTAAAGTCGACAGAAAGTAAAAGTTTTCAAAGATTTGGATGGAATTGCTTGTAGAATTTGAATGTAATTAGATTAATAAAAAATAATAAAAATGATAGATGATTATCTGATTTGATAAAGACAAAATGATTGGTTCTAGGAAGATGGGAAGATAATCTTGTTAAAATATAAAAATATTATATTTTTTAATCAGTTAATAATTTAATATTTTTCTAAAAAAAATTCTGCAAACTATACATTTTTAAACAAACATGTATAATACTAATCATTAAGTATTTTATTTTATCATTAAATTCATTAAATACATTTGCCAGTTTGATAAAAAGCACACTTGAATCAATATATTACATTAATTTAAATTCCATGTTCTGTTTTATAAAAAAAAAATTTATCTTGCTTCCGTTTATGTTGCAGAAATTACAAAGACGAGTACATCTCGCAAAATGGGTACGTGCGGGGTCTACTTGTCTCAACTGCGAGCAATGCTCGTGAGGAATCTTCTCTTGAAAAAGCGTGAGAAACGGAAGACGACGGCGGTATGTTAATTATAAAGCAATTAACACTCCAAAATTGATTTAACAAGATTAATTATAACATCCGTTATAATTAACATGAACTTGAAACTAAAAAAAACTTATAATATTTTTTCCTAAAACTGTTTTACAATTTTTGACAAAATATTTCTTCTTCTTCTATTTTATACTACACCAATTTAATTCTGAAATGTTTAGTTTATTAATTTATTTTTCAAATTTTTATTAAATTCTATATATTATTTTGATTATCAATCACGAAATTTTAATCGAATGAATATGAAATATGAGATCCTGTTTACCTGTGGAATATTTAAGTTATATCTGTTTGATCTTATTGAATTTCCACATGTTATGAATCATCAATAATATACATATAATGGAACTTTAATCAAGTATATACTTAAAGAAGAGAAACAACAAAATTGTGAATAATTTATAAAAACTACTAATTTTGTATAATTAATATAACACCGTATAGTTGTTTGATCTGGTTTCAAGGTTCCAGTAGAATCTTTCAAGTTTGTATTGAATGTGTCAGCATACATTGCGTTAAGAAGGAACTATGCGATTATGTTTCACCGATTGTCAAGGAATGAGAAATCTGACTCAGACTATCACGCAGAGGTTCAAGTATACACTTGAATTATTATTGTAGAATTTTTATATTACCATTTTATGGAACGAGAAGTCTTAATCGAGTGGTAGTTCGTGTTAGGAGGCCAGAACTAAGTATAGATACGAATACTTATTTTATGTATAAATCGATTTTCTCTACCTTTAACGAGCTATATTTAGGCTCGCCTTTTCTCTCTTCTCTTCGATCTGCCCTTTATCTTAACAAATCGAAGCAAAAGTTTTGATGAACAGTGTAACAAAATAATATTTGAACAATAACATATTTTATATGAAAGAAGATTACTAAAGAAAAAAGATTCAATAATAAAACATCAATTAAAAATTGAAGAAAGAAGAGTACGGACACTTAATATTTATTAATTCTCTAAATGAAACTTAATCTGCTTATAAGGAAAGAAATTCTAGAATTTTTCATTATATTTTATCTGAAAGATAAAAAATAATAATTGCTAATCTGTTTGGTAATAAGATGCTATAACAATTGAATTGAATTGTATAAAAGAATGTGACCACATACTTATATGATATCATGAAGTATATTGTTTTTATTTAAGTAATGAAAATTTACATGATGATTATTGATGTTAAAATAGATAACTAAAAAAAGATCTATATAATAACACGAAATAGATATATAATAAAATGATTATTAATCTTACCTGATCATTGTTGTTAAGAAATTTTTGTTCATAAAAATTCTTTATATAACAAGTATTTATTTTATTGGCGCTAGTGTCAATATTTGTGGCGTTTCTGGCATCTTGGCAAGTGAATTCTGCAATCTGTGGGACAGATTATATTCTATACGTTGTCATTTATTTTAGATATTTTAAATAATTTAATTATCAATTTTTCTTATTTTTATTATATAAAATTTCTTTTCAAAGATTTTATGTTGATATGAATAGAGAAATAAAAGGAAAAAAATAATTTTTGCTTTCCAAAATAAAAAACTAATCATTAATCGATACTTGGAATTATCAATTCTTTATCATTAAAAGTTTTTTGAAAACAATTACTATTAAAAACCATTTCATTGAGAAGAAATTTACATATGAACAAATTGGTGAATTGGATATATAAGTCAATCTACTATAGAATAAAAATAGAGAATAAATCGAATATGCAAGAATCAAAAAAAGAGGGAATACAAAAAAAAGAAAAAAAAATGTGTATGTTGGGTGCCAGTAAAGCTGCAATCCAAATTCACCAGTTACAATGAAGAGAAAGATGCGCAGATAGTTTCCATGAACGGCGACGAAGTGACTACGTTCCGTGGACATTCACGTCTGCCAACGGGGGAAGGCGTATTGCCAATTCATTGGGTGTTTTTACGTTAGCTTTGTGCCAACTGGGCCAAGGGTCGTCGTGGAAGGGTCTAGAAGAGAGGAGAAAAGAAGGAAAAAATAAAATTTTTTAATTTGTCTTATTATTATTTTTCCATTGATCTTGAAAAATAGATTAGAAATGGAACACAGTGTTCTCTTTGTTTCTTCTTTGATACAATTGACCAAGGACAATGTGAATATATTGGAGCATAGTATGATCTCGAGTTCTCAAAATAAATTCACTCATTTAGCTTTACTGTTTGATGATTTCATAGTACATTGGTCGATTTCAACAGTACATTTTATTTTTAATGATTGACATTTGGAGGAAAATATGAATAGTTTTTAAATAATGGCAGATATTAGAAATGTATTCTGAAAATAATTTCTGGAAAAATTGTGAATAGAGATATTGAATCACAAGAAAATTTTAGAAAATTTTATCAATATATTAAAATGTATTAATACATGTTTTATTAATGCTTTAATGAAATTTTATTATTATGATATCATAACAACGATATATCCAACAAAAAATATTTTCATGAAAAAAATATTATTTACTTTTATAATTTTATAATTTACTTTTACGTACATAAATGTAGATGTACATTCTACTAATTTAAAAACATTAATTTTATCTGCTCTTGAATCTTATCAATCATATATTAAGAAGAATGAAACCATAATGTTATAAAAATTACTTCTTTTTTGAACTTTTTTGTTTTCCTTCTCTTCCTTTAAAAATAGCTGGATCGATAATATTTGTAGGTCCATTGTTCCACATGGAAGTAGAAATAGTTTCCATCGGTTCAACGGTAGAAGGAAGTAAATGAGGACCAATTAAAAAATAGACTTGTTGTACCCATGCTGGAAGAGACAAACCAGCCACGCAACATTGCCACAATGGCAAACCCAAATGAACAAGCATCATACGAAAGTATACAGTGAAATTTTCTGCTAAGCGATACCATTTATTAGTATTTTCTCGATGTAGCCAGATTGTTGGCGACTCCACTTCCGGTTTTATACGATATACCAAATAGATCTTGGCAATTTCACTTTCTGGAAAGCATCTTGCTATTTCAAACATTTTGTAATCATTTTCCTGCAAATGAAGTGAAATTGCATTCTCAAGATCGGTAGAACTACCGCAAATGGTTTCATTGTCTGATTTATGGATGTCATTGTAAGATTCTTTCTTAGTAGCATCTGTTTGATGATTTTTAGAATTGTTTGTATAGCGTTTTAAAGAGGAAAAGGTGCCAATTTCCATGCATCCTATAGAAAATTCTTCACCTGTATAAAATAGATAAATCTTTTGTAAAGATATTATCAATTTTCAAAATTAATAACAATTAATAATGATATTATATTGTTTTAGTTTGATATAAAATATGTAATTTAATTATAATTTTCATATGAGATAATTGATACATATGATTAAATACTATATAATATTATTATGTATTATTAATATAATACATTATTAATTATTTAATTGATATCTACGTATTTTTTTATAAAGATAATTAATTTTAATTCTATTTTATCTTTCTCAGAAAAATAAAAAAAAGATTATTTTTATTAAAATTTTAAAACAATATCATCAACTTAATATACTTATAATATTAGAATTATGAAGTTTTAATATATATCTCATTATATATAATATATACATAAATAAATATTAAATAAAATTTTATTATGAAATTAGATAGATATGTGTATATAATCAAAATTTTATCTTAATGAAAATTAATATTTTCACTAAATTTTTATTTTCTTAATAAATTCAAAAAACAAAGAATCTAAAACTTCTATTGTAATTTGATAATTCTAATATTAATATATTTTCAGAAAATTAATTAATATTTAAAATTATTTTTAATTATAAAAATTATTTTTATTCAAATCGTAGAATTATAAAGGAAGAATTATATTACAAAAAACATAGAAAGACAATAATAGAAAATAGAAATTGAAATTATGATGCTATTGAAGAGTCGGAAATAGAGATATCAAATAAATCATTAATAACGCATGGGATCAAGCAATAATCATGGATGAAAGCCGACAAAGAGGATTATCGAAATGCGTGGATAAGTTTAGAAGAGATTTTACCTGCTATCTCGAGATTCCACTGAAGCAGGAAGCCATCGATCGAGGCATAAAAGTTCTTAACATCTTCCGGGAGTGTACAACAATGGCGTTGCTCCCAGCTATTAATGACCGTAGTTTCACATCCGTTTCTACGATCGACTCGTACATTTTTTACGTATGGAAAACTTTCGAGAATCTTGACCACACCTAATGTAAGATTCTCGTAAAAAGAATCCTCTGTTACGATATCGACGAAGAAAGACATCGAGTGTATTTTTTTTTTAATATTCATTCATCAATTTTCCCACAAAAAACGATTTTCAAAGATATTTTGAATCTTTATTAATTAAATATTGTACCAATCTCAATATTTAACAATTAAAAATCATTCTTTCAAATGATAAACATTTTTTATTTTTAAAAAATTCAGAACGAAGTATCTGAAATTATATAATAAAGATTTTTGATTATGTGTCGAGAAGAACGAACTGTTAAATTGCACTAAAATTGAATTATTTTATCAGTAAAGAGAAAACTTCGAAATTTTCAATCCAAATGATTTCTTGAAAAACTACGTTTCGTTATTGTTAGAAGAATTTTTATTTTCTAATCAATATAATTTTTTAAATTCTTCAAAACCAATTATCTTTTGATATTATTTTTTTTTCCCAATCTATTACAATATACACTATTATTTACTTTTTTTCTTTTTTAATTAATTTTTTTATGTATAATTCTTTTATGAATAAGAAATTTTGATTTACAACAAGGAAATTTTAAATTGCTTGTAAACGATTGTAAAATCAAGAATAATCGTGCTAATGAATCGGACTGGTTTGGTCTGTTGTTGATCGTCATGGTGACGGAATACGAAAGCGAACTACTAGTATATCCACTTTTCTCATATTCAAACGAACCAACAAGAGTTGTATCGAACGCTTGCGCAGGTTTACATTGCACGATAAGTGTGGGAGAGGGTACAGGTGAAATAATTATTATACACGCACGAGGGAGGTTCCTTTCAGAAACTACTATGCACTTTCTCTCCTATATTCAATCATCATGAACAACATATTTAACATATCCATTATTTAACTAGATATATATAAAAGAACAGCTGCTGGTGACGGTTGAGAGTCGAATAAAAAACTTGTTCGATTCTAGAATTAAAAATATCTTTGTTCTATATATTTTTCTTTTTTTCTATATTTAATTTTTTTTAATCTCTTTTTACTTTGAACAATTTATTATATTATCATAAATTATTTTTCAAATATTTTTATTAAAAGTGAAAGTAATAATGTTTTTGAAATAAATCTAAATTTATTTATTTACTTCATTTATTTGAAATGTATTAATTAAAATTTGTATTATAATAAATAAATCATGTGATTTTATAATTAAATTAAGCATAATTAAACTAAATTAAACATAGAATATTATATATAAAAATAACTTTAAAAAATGTTAAAATTTTAATTTTGATTTATAATATTTTTTCCTTTATGTTCTTTCTTATGTTGTTTTGTTTTATTGTTCACAGGAGATTTTCCTCCCTCTTTGCACTCTAGGTGTGTTAATCGTGGTGAAAGTATTACCACCGAATCCAAACTATCCCGCAATGACAACACAAAGACAAGAAGGTGGTATATTCGAGACATTCAATGGCTACAAGAACAATACGATAGCTGTTGTTCCAAATTCAACAGAAACTTTGGTACATGTTCTTGTTATTAACAATTTTATCTGTATTCTCAATGATCATTTTCTATAATATTCCTATTTTAGGCCTTTTTAAATTCAATGAATGCTCTGTGGTTATCAATGTGGGATTATCCTGGCAAGCTTCCTTTAAATTTCGTGGTATTTGATACGAAGGATGATTTGCAAGCAGCATATTGGAGAGATCCATACAGCGTTCCCCTAGCAGTAATCTTCGAAGATTCTCAACCTATATCTCAACATCTCTTGTAATATTTAATAATATTTAATTGAAATAATCAATTGCAATAGCTAAAATTAAGAAATTTAAATGCAATATCTAATTTACATTAGATATGAGATAAGAACAAATCCATCATATACGAATCCACCTTCGCCGACTGAATTGTATTCTGCCCCAGTTACTTGTCGGAAAGATACAAGCCATTGGTTAGGTGGTGTATTGTCGATAGAAACTGGTGGATCATGTCCTGCGAATAATTATTTGCACTCAGGTTTCTTGGCGTTACAAATGATAATGGATATTACAAAGATAAGAGTATGTTTCTTGATATAATAGATTAATTCATAATAAAAAAATATTTTATACTGATTTAAATCTCTATATTAATAATTTTCAGTTAGATACGAGGAATACAGATATAACTGTACCGGATATTAAATTAGAAATGTTTCCTAAAGAAGCTTTCACCGCAGGTAAAAGTTTTAAATTAGGAATGTTTTAAAATAATTTTTTCATCTTTCTATTAATTAAAAATTGATTAAAAATCTATTGATTAAAAATTACTGAATTTTTTAAATTATATAATTATAGTAATTATATAAATTAAAATTATAAAAATAAATTATAGTTTATAAATTAAATTTATATTTAAACTTTTTGCTTTTTTTAGTTTTTTTATTTTTGTTTTTTTTTGTTTTTTTAATGTTGTTTTTTTTCTAAGAATATTTTTTATTTAGACTGGATGTTGGCCTTTAGAGTTGTTATACCACTTTTTATGGTCCTGGCCATTTCACAATTTGTTACTTATCTTCTGATCTTGATAGTCGGTGAAAAAGAAAAAAAGATTAAGGAAGGAATGAAGATAATGGGCCTAAAAGATTCGATTTTCTGGTAAATAAATAAATATTATTTATAAAATTCACATTGAAATGTTAGTAATATATAAAATATTAATAATATTAATAAATTAAAAAATGAAAATTTTTAAAAACTAATTAAAATTAACATTTTTATTTCAGGTTATCATGGTTCATTATCTATAGCGTTTTTGTCTTGTTACTTTCTGCCGTCGGAGTAATATTACTTTTTACACTACAAATGTTTCAGCACACACACTTTTTACCAATATTTCTTTTAGTAGTACTATATAGTTTCTCTATAATCATGCTCGCTTTTATGATAACACCCTTCTTCGATAAGTCACGAGTAAATATTTTATTGATATTATTATACTATTATCGTATTATTACTATAGTAAATTAATCTTAACTATTTTTATTAGACTGCCGGTGTACTTGGCAATTTTGCAGTCACAATAATGAGCTTGATGTACTTTATTCAAGTCTTTGTGAACGATTCTAGTTCTGTACCATTTTGGTTGGTTTCTCTTCTTAGTCCAACAGGAGTTGCTTTAGCTATGGATAAGGTTTGTATTAGAGGAAAATAATATTTTCACGAAAAAAGAAATATTCTATAGAAAAATGTTTGTATTTTTTTATAGGCGCTTGTATTAGATTTACAAGGAGAAGGAGTTAATTTTGACAATCTTTGGTCAGGTCCTGGTATACCATTTGGAGGAAGTCTTATTATGATGACATTAGACATAATTCTCTATGCTTGCTTAGCTTACTATTTTGATTGTGTTATACCAAGTATGTTTTTTAAAAGTATACTTTATTATTATGTCCATTAAGTTATTAATAACGAATAATTAAATATTAAATATATAATTAAGGTGAATACGGAACAAAAAGAACTCCTTGGTTTTGCTTCACGCCTGAATTTTGGTGTCAAAGAAAAGCTCCACGGGTGAATTTTATTAATAATAATAAAGAAATGAATATGAAAATAAAAAAAAAATATATTTAAAATTGTATTTATAGGTACCATCATCAAATGGTGAATCGAATTCTTTTATTCCTGGTGAAGAAACTAATCGCGATGTTGAACCAGTAGTTCGTGAAATGAAAGGTCGTGAAGCAATTAGAATAGTTGATCTTTACAAATCCTATCAAAAATGTCGTAAACCAGAAATTAAAGCTGTAAATGGTATTAATTTAACGATTTATGAAGGCCAAATCACAGCGATACTTGGACACAATGGAGCTGGCAAAACTAGTCTTTTTAATATATTAACTGGTTTGACTGCACCTACCGCTGGCACTGCCTTGATTTTTGGTTACGATGTTCGGGATTCTAATGATATGCAGATGATCAGAAGTATGACCGGCGTTTGTCCACAACATGATATTCTTTTTGATCTTCTCACACCTCGCGAACATCTTGAATTTTTTGCCGCTGTACGTGGTATTCCACGATCGATGATTGAACACGAGGTAACATGAAGTTATATAAAAATTTTTTTTATAAATTATGAATAACAAATTGTTATATTTGATTATTTTTAGGTGAATAAAACTTTAAAAGATATCGATTTAACTGAGAAGGCAGATACTTTTGCAAAATATTTAAGCGGGGGACTGAAAAGGAAATTATCCGTAGGTATCGCCATTATCGGTGATCCGAAAATTATTATTCTGGATGAACCTACAGCTGGAGTTGATCCCTACTCCAGAAGACAGATGTGGTCTTTTTTACAATCTAGACGTCACGGAAAAGTGATTTTACTGACGACTCATTTTATGGATGAAGCGGATATACTAGCAGATAGAAAAGCAGTTATTAGTAAAGGAAAACTAAGATGCTGCGGTAGTTCTTTATTCTTAAAAAATAAATTTGGCATTGGATATCATTTAACGTATGTCCGATATTTATTAAAAAATGAAGAATGATATGATACAATATAATTAATAAAAATATATTTGTTGATTTTTTACAGGTTAGTACTTGAAGGAAATGCAAGAGAACACGCTATTACTAGATTGGTAATGTCTCATGTTTCAAAAGCAGAAAAAGCGAGACGTCATGGCCGTGAACTGAGTTTTATTTTACCTCATAATTCAGTAGAAAGCTTTGCACCACTTTTTTCAGCTATAGAACATGAAATTAAAACTCGATCAAGTAGATTGGGTATTAGTAGCTACGGGGTATCGATGACTACTCTAGAGGAAGTATTCTTACATTTAGAAAAGGACGAAGGTCCTGAATATACGATGGATAATTTATCAAAAAAAATGGTACGCAATCGTGCATTAAGTAGATCCTTATCATTACAATCAAAAAGCACTTCTTATCAAAGCTTGCAAAATGAAGGTATTACTGTCCAGAGTGATGGTCAAGCAAAAGGTATATTCAATTTAACATTTTCAAAATATTAAAAAGATTATAATGTATTAATTTCATTTTTATTACTGTAGAGGCAGGAGATTTACCGGATGGTGTTCATAATGATAGAAACCCTCCAGTTCTCGGCCTCGGATTAGACCCCATAAAAATTCGGCCTAATTTCATTCAAATCTTATATGCTATGCTTCGCCTAAGAATACTCAGGCTTTTTAGGAACATTCAGTTATTGTATTTCACTATCGTTGCGCCTCTTTTTCTGATAGTTCTTGGCCTTCATTTACATAGCATTCAAACAGTTGAAGTTAAAATGCAGTCTCTTAAATTGAATAACGGTATATTTTGAAATAATTGTATCTTAACAAATAATTTTTATCTGGATTGAACATTTTTTTTTGTTTTTTTTTTTTTTGTTTTTGTTTTTGTTTTTACAGATACTTACGGAAATCAGACAAAAATTTTGTACACAAATAGTACCGACCATGATATCACAGACTTAATCGATGGAATAGGTCAAGATGTAAAATATATTAAAGAGTACCACGGAAATTTTGCAAATTTGTTAAAAATCGCACCACACGTTGCCGCTTTCAATATCAATGAATACAGTCTATCTAAAATCAATTTGATTATCGCATATAACGATACTATGCAACATTCTCTACCAATCTTGATAAACTTGTTATCAAACACCTATTATAGGTATAATTAATAGTTCAATAATATATCGCAAATTTAAATAATTGTATATAAAATTGTATATATAAAATTTATTTATTTTCTTCTAATTAGGTTGATCTCAGATAAAGATAATCTAACACGTATTGAAGTTAAAACGCATCCTTTTCAACAAACTTCTCAGCCACAAGAATTTAATATTGGCACAGCGAGTTCTGCTCTATTTATTGGAATGCATTTTATATTGTTACCAATAACCTTAGTTGTAGATATGGTTTATGATCGTGAAGTAAGATTTTTTTTTATTAATCATATTTTTAAAATAATATATTATTTATTTTCTTATTTTAGATATTTATATTATTTATTTAAATATTATAATATAATTATTATATAAATAATTAATATTATATATTATAAAACAATATTCTTTACAATATTTTTCATATTTTTAGATAAAAGCAAAGAATCAGCTTCGTGTCAACGGTTTGTCATTTTCTATGTACTTCCTAACATATTTTATTGTACTTATCGGCCTGATGACATTCATAAGTTTATGTATCCTTGGCATCATATTTGTCTTTGATGTGCCTTCGCTTCAAGAAATACCAGCACTCATCACCTTAGGTGGTCTTCTAATGCTTTATTGTCCATCATCCATTCTATTTTCGACATGTTTGAGTTATATTTTTGACAAGATGGATTCAGCTCAAAGCATTTTGCCCAATATTGCTACGTTCTTTGGACTTATACCGTTTATACTAGTCACAACTCTTGATATGCTAGGTCTTAGTAAGTTATATTCCAAAAATTATTATTTATTAAAAATTCATTTATTTAAATGTAATTTCCAATTTTTATTAACAATTATATTTATAAATTAATATCAACTTATTAATAAATTTTTTAGGTGGGACGGCAGCATTCGTTTTACACGTAATTTTTTCTTTATTAAATACATTATACATACCATATGCTGCAGTATATTATGTAGAAAGAGTACATATAATGTGTTCAATTAACGCTGCTTGCCATCATCTAACTATGTCCGATTATTTAACCACGGAAATCACTTTAATGGCCTTTGGTGTGCTTCTACACTGTCCAATGTGGTTTTTCGTGCTTTTATTATTGGATATTAAAAAAAGTGGTGGTAATATTGGCGATATATTGAAGCATTTTTTGGTTAGTATTGATATAATAGATTAAAAAATTAATACATATTTAAAGTATAAAATAAAAGTTTCTTTTATCTTCATAGCGTAATGGTGGTTCGATCGGTGAAGAAATAATGGAAAATTCTGACATTGGAGAACACGAAGATGGAGATGTTAAAATTGAAAGGCAGAAAGTTTTTAATCTTATTACTTCTTCATCTGTTCAAGAACCACCTGTAGTTTTAGTACAGGTATTATTTTTTATTACATATTTTATTTTTAATTTATGTATATCAATTTTATATATATATAATTAAATTTACATGTCTATTAGAATTTAAGAAAAGAGTATCGACAAAAGGAATCAGGATCATGCAGTTGCTGTTCAAAACAAGATGAAGAAGCTAGTCAAATACAACGAAAAGTTGCTGTAAGAAATCTATCATTAGCAGTTGAACCAGGAGAAGTATTTGGATTACTTGGTCATAATGGTGCTGGCAAAACAACAACAATGAAAATTATCATAGCAGAAGAAGCGGCTACTCGAGGAAGGGTACAAATTGGTGGTCATAATATTAATTCCAATATAACGGAAGCTTTTAAACAAATGGGATATTGTCCCCAACATGATGCTCAATGGAAGAATATTACTGTTAGGGAACATTTAGAATGTTATGCTGCGATTCGTGGTGTACCGTGGGGAGATATTGACAGGTGATAATAAGAATAATATTGACAGAAATCGAATATTTCGGATAATATTGAATTCAAATTATTTTAATAATTATAAAATTCTTAGATATATATATTTAATTAAAAAATTATTGTAAAATAAAATTTTATATTTCAGAATTGTAGATTTATACCTTACTGGTTTACAAATTCATGAACATGCCGATAAACAAACTCAAGAATGTTCAGGTGGAACTAGAAGAAAACTTAGTTTTGCTATGGCAATGATTGGAGGTCCAAAAGTTGTTTTAATGGATGAACCTAGTGCAGGAATGGATCCTAGATCTAAGAGATTTTTATGGGATACAATTCTTGCTAGTTTTCAGGTTTGTTTTTCTGTTAAAACTTTTAATCTTTTTAAATATATGATTGTTGATGATAATTTTTTTATGAATAAATTTATTATACAACAGGGTGGTAGAGGTGCAATTTTAACTACTCATTCAATGGAAGAAGCTGATGCTCTCTGTTCCAGAGTGGGTATAATGGTAAAAGGAGAGTTAAGGTGTATTGGTTCTACTCAACATCTGAAGAATTTATATGGTGCAGGCTATACTCTTGAAATGAAACTTTTGGGCGGTGATTGTACACCTACCACACCTTCCGGTGATAGAATTACAAGTTTGAAGGAATTTGTTTCCAGTCTTTTTCCAGATGCAACTTTAGAAGAAAGTTTTGCCGACAGATTAGTTTTTGCTGTACCTCAACATGCAGTTAACTCGCTGGCCGAGTGTTTTATGCAATTGGAGAAAGGTAAACATCAAGTAAATAATTAAAAATCATTAAAAATTTTTATTAATTTAATAATTTAATTGATATTTCGAATTTTAGCCAAGCTTGAATTGGATATTGAAGAATACAGTTTCAGCCAAACTACTTTGGAACAAGTTTTTCTTAAATTTTCTCACTATGATGAATCTAACTTGGGAGAATGATAACTTACACAAATGAATGTGTTTATTCTCACGTGTTGTATAGTGAAATACTCATGGAACTGCTCAATTTGTGCAAAAAGTGTAAAAAAATTATTCATATTGGAAGAAGTGATTTGTTCTTTAATGTTCTCATATAAATATTATTGAGAACGAAGTTAAACAATTTCTGCATTCTAAATATCCAGAATATTCTAATAATTACAAAAGAACTTTATATCTTTGAACGCAGACTTTGAAGGTAAACTCTATTTTAACCTGACAACTCTGTGAATGAAAGAAAACGTATTTTTACGTTATACATTTGATCGACCTAATCATTAAAAATATTAGATATTTTTTTTGTGTCGATATATTGTTGCGTTTGTCAGAATTAAAAGTGACTTCCTGGAGATAATTATCGTGAGATAAATGGATGCATGTATAAAAATTAATTGAGCTGTAAATAGAAAATCGTGTAATGTGGAAACTGTGAACGATTTATTCGATTATCATCAAAAATACTAATACTATTTAAATAGTAATATTCATAATTTTTAAATTACATTGTAATATAGTTTATTATTCGATTCCTATGAATATTATAAATAGGTCTCATAAATAATATTGCTGTGGAATTGGAACGTTATTATCATTATTATAAGAATAATATTAAACATGATTAACAGCAAAAAGATACAGATCCAAGAATCAATATTAAATTCTTTTTAAATATCCTGAATTCAATGAATTACTTATCGATATTAATAAACATAGGAATATTTATATATTCATTTATTAATATTTATTATTGCTCGCAATTATTTCGAATATTGTTGAAAGAAATTATATCATTATTTAGAAAAGATATTATATACAGAACATAATGGGCGGTTTAATTTGTGCATATAAGATAATATGTATTACATATTTATGAATATGTACTTCTCCAATTTGCTTATCATCTTTTCTGAAATCTTTTGAATAACAAAAAACAAATCATAGGTTGTTAATCTTGCCTCAATAGCACGTAAGATGATAATAATTTAATACGAGACTTCTGTGGTAGAGGCAATCGAAATTTAATAGGACAACTTGAATATGATAAAAATATATTGCAAATAATATTTGATAATCCATATAAATAATTTAATAATTTTAAAAGAATTTTATTGTCGTAAAATTATTTATAAATATCTTAATTTTTTTTCTATGTTATAATTAAATTTTTTATCTTTTAAGATTTTTATTTTTCCGAAAAATGCTTTAATTCTATTGCAATTTTAAATAAATGAAATAGTCTGATTAAAACGAGTTGAACTAAGCAAATGAAAATAAAAAAAACAATAATTTTTTATTACACGCATATTTTATGTAAAATTATTAAATTAAACCCATTTTAAAAGTAGACTAATAGTAGGATTAGACAAAGCTAGGTATCTTGTTTTATATAATCCGATTTCAAGTAAGCTTTATGCATTACAAATGAAATCTATTGAAAGGATAAAAAGAAAAGTTGAAAAAAAAATATATGGTCAAGTTTTCCTATTGGAAAAAATTTTTTTTAATATTTATGTGCGTACACTCGATCTTCCGTAATAAAAATTCCAAAAAATCGAACGGAAGAAATAAAGATACTGTTTGGCGGACTGAACGAAATATTTTATAGATTATAGTGCATAGGTAGTCAAAAATAAAAATTTCATTGTAAGGGGATATTGATTTTTGTAAATAAAACTCGTTATAAGAAGAATATAGTAGGAAATGTAAAATGAAAAATTATACATGCGCTACTGTGCGTTCGCGCATTTATAAGGGATTGTGTACGCACAATTCTCGTTCTAGCTAATATCACATCAATATAAAATTTAGTCAATTATGAAATTACGAAGAAAAGGAAAACTGCAAATAATTTTATGAAAATTATGTATATGAATATATAAATATATGCATATTTATATATTTATATAAAATATAACATATACATATGTGTATGTCATTTTTTAAAAACACGATTATGTTTTAAATATATCACAATTACAAGATAGGAATATTATAACATTCCTAAAGATACTGTTGTGCTGTATTAAGAAGTAGATATATCTTGTATTCACAAGTAATTTTATTTTTTTTGTTTGTTTGTAGTTGTACATGATATCTTCTCTGCTCACATTAATCGCCATTTTTTGGCTTTTCCTGTTGGTAACTCGTTCATATTTGTCGAGTTTTTATATCGATCGATATATATGTATATACACATATAATGTATTATATATATTAATATACATATGAATTTATATTTATATAATTAGAGAATTTGCAGTGAGAGATTAGTATTTGAATTTTCTCAGAATTAAACTAAATTATATAAATTTGCAAACTATTCAATATGTTCATAAATAAAACTTTTAATTTAAAATGAGAAACTCTCTTTTATATAAATAATTCACAATAATTTTTATATGAATTTTTATTATCACAAACTATAAAAATTAATTTTTATTTTTAAAAAGAAAAAATTTCTTTATAATAATAAGAAAAATAGTTATATTAGAAAATTAGAAAATTAACATAAAAATATAGAATTAATAATTAATATAATCATCTCTTTTACTGCAAATCTTTCAATTTATTTTAAAAATATTTATATCAATATTATCTCATAATATTAATTTGAAGTTTTTCTTCAACTTTATTTGAATATTTTTTATCATTACCAGCTAAAATTTTTTGTACCATACATTATTTTTTACAATCTAACTATTAAAATATATAGAAATACAAGAAGCCATAAACATTTTTTCATAATCAAACTTCATTTGTAAATCGATTATAAAATCGATTTTCATTGGTATATATGATTTTGTAGGAATAATATATACATATATTCGTATCGAGATATTTATAAACTATTGTTAAGCCATCTTTCGTTTAATTGAAAAAATAGAAAAAATTCACACATTCACACGAATACGCGATCACATACATAATCACACATGCATGTATGCACTCATGCACTGGCGCGCGCGACCGGTCATCTGATAAGGATTTCGTGCTTTTAGACGCACTTACACTCAAAGACATTAAGAGAGAAAGAGACTCATATATAGGTACAATTATTTAAAAAAATGCGATTATCATCAATAAAAACTACACGTCAAATATACACCCTATCGATGAACGGTTGACTTTGCGGAATTACATATTTGTTATGTAAAATAACTGTAATCAATTGGTTAAATGGAAGCTTTTTCACCAATAAAAAGAAATCAGTTAAACATTTACGAAGTGTCCTTTTTCAAGCATTTCATGTTTTTTAAAATTAGAATTTAAAATAATAAAAAAAATAAGAAATGTATGTACAATTGCGAAGAGCTTCTTGTTTTTCAAATTAATCCATTGTTGTTTAATATATAATTTTAAAGTAACTTATAATGATATGCATTTGATTTAAGTAGTATTTGATTTGTAGTGTTATATGCTATTTAACAGAATATAGAGATAAGTATAATTTCTTTTCAAAACTTTCATTTTCGTAAAATATAAATAATAAAATGTTACAAATTTTTTCGATTATTAATTAGAAAGTTTTGTATAAACTAACATAATTGTTTGTTTCTGAGCACAAATATTTGAATATAATTATTTCAAATACAATGTTATGGTTTCTGATTTTCAAATTTTTTGATTTTATTTATTTTCTTTTTAAATTTGAATTATTTGTATATCTACATAAAATAAATTTTTTATGTTTTCAATTATAAGATTTTTGAAAATTATTTACTTAAAAGCAAAGCACTTTTCATATAACTATTAAATTGTAATAATATTGAAAAATATTAGAAATTATGAAAAAAATATTGTATTAAGATATAATTAGCTTAATTATTGGTATTATTCATTGTATTAATTTATACAATAATTATTTCAACTAAAAATTTTTAAATAAAAAAAATAAATTTATATAATCTTTTTATACAATTTAAAATACTTAGTAACTTTCATTAAATTATAATTGGTTTTAATTTAAATAATTTAAAAAAAAATTTTATATTTTATACATAAATTAATAATATTTTACATTTTACTAAAAAAAAAGCATTTTAATTATTACTTATAGCTAGCACAAATTCTATTATAAAATAATTAGTACGAAATATATATTTGTCCTCCATTAATATTTTCATGTTTTTATGTATATATATATATATATGTACAGTTAGTATGTGTAAGTATTTATATAGTATGTGCTTTTTATTCAAAAAGAAAATTGCATATAAAAAATGTTCGTTATATAATTCATAAAATGCAAGATATCAAAGGATTTCCGATTATCTTTTAATAATAGTGAGTCTTTTTTAATAAGATATTTAGATTATTTATTTATTAATGATTGCCAACAATAATGATAATAATTAATTCTGTAAAAAGACATTAAGTCTCTCGCTTCAGATAAATAAATTTATAATATTAAATTTATTGTTATATTGCAATAAATATATGTATATAAGATAATTTACAAAATTATAGATAAAATGTTATTTATAAATAGCTTATTTTTTATGGGTCTTATAATTAATAAAATACTTGTTAATGTGAATATAACATATAAGTAAATTCAATTTAAAATATTCTTATATATCTCATTCAAATATTTATAAAGTTCTCAATACTGCACATTTTTAATGTTTTCATTTAAAGTATATTAAATAATAATATTAATAATTAAATAATAATATTAATATTAAAATTTGTAGGATATCTTTAGATCAATTTTAAAAATCAAAACAAACATAAAAATTGGTATACAAAAATGTCAATTGAAGTATATGAATTAAATTATAAGCATTTTAAATTTACATTTAGATAAAATGAGCAAAAATAAAATGTGATAACAGTGTAATAAAAATAATAGAAATAATGTGATTTTATTCTCTTTCCATTTCATTTTTATAATAAAAACTTTAATTGCTTATAAACTTTTGCTTGCTCAATCAATATTTTTATATTTGTGTGTTCTGGTT